CAGATGCTGTCAGCAGTGTACTTAAAATTCCTCATTTTAGAAGCAATAAATCAAGCCAGATTTTACAGCATCTTTACTTCAAATTTATTTAAATCAATTTTCTGCCCCTTCTTAGATTATTTCACTGCATGCTAGTAGGATGCTCTATCAAACAAAACCAGTGCTGCAGAGGGTGAGCTCCAGTAATCCAAGAACACTATTTTATACTGGAAATTGAACTGTCCAGTTTAAATGCTGTGGTTATTTTTAGCTTCAGGGATGCAACTCCATCCCTCATACCTTCTACATCCAGGAAACTGGAGTGTGATGTCAATAAATCTGATATCTTGAGAATCTGCTGCCATCGGTATCATAAACTGTGCAGTGCTGTGGGATGTTTGCCCTGTCCTTGGATAAGGCTGATGAAGGTCTGGTCATGTTTTCATATTTGCCATGTGACTTTGATATGCAAGTATTTTTATCCAGCGTCTACACATGTGCATTTTGATTACCTGAAACTGGAACTTTCCTGCCTTGCGGTTATTTTTAAAATGAGGGGGAAAATACTGAAATTCTTTCACTGTTTTTGAGAATTCATGTCTCGAGACTAAAACTTCCACATAATAATGCCTGCGATTTTAGATATCGGATGGGCTATTCATTACGCATCACAATGCCTGGCTCTCCTCTGTGTATCCAACTTCACACACTCTTCCGTAACCTGTAGTTGGTGGACAGGTGACCTTTAGGGACAAAAGGGTATGAGCACATGATGAACCAGACTGGGCTATTATGTGTAAATTGCAAAGTTCAATCTTTTTTTAGACTTCTTTTTATTGATCACTGCTTCACATAATTCCTAGGAACCATGTGCTGCTTCATTCATGCCCTTGATCTCTGTCCATTGAAAATCAATGCTAGTGAATGCTAAGAGATGACCAGATGAGTGACAGCAGATGGCAGTTTACAAATCATCTTCTCGCTTTGTATGTCATAAGCTAATTATATTGAATGTGATGTAGAATGGAAATGACAGTGTGAAAGGGAGACAAAAACTAATCAAGGCAGTTAATTAAGTTTCACAATGCTTTCACTTGGGATTGCAGGGTAGCTCTAAGAACTGACACATATTCTCAGACTTACAGTACATACGCCTGGTTGGACATGAATCAAAGGACAAATTGCTTTTGGTTAATTATTTTAGCCTTAAAAGAAACATGGGACGAGCTGCTCAGATCACGAAACGATGAGGGCATGTTCAATCTTGTGTCTTAACAGCTGTATTGTGGCAATTAATGAGATTTCTCAATGGCTAGTCAATGGATGATCTCATCTATTGCTGTATAAAATCAGGCGTTCCTTTAAATCTGTTATTTGACAAGATGTAGTGCAGAGAGAATAGGGTTAGGTCGCACGGATGTTGCTATGAAATGGATGTTTTTAAGACCAGCAGTTCTAGCACCAGGAGGCACCTACTCAGACAGCTTTATTGAAGCTGAGTAATTAGCCTCAATGGGCAGTGAGCATTAATGAATCAGGGCTTGACATTCATAAATGCATCTCATAAATCCTGCCAGGAACCAGGCCGTGTGTGTGAATGTGATGGAGAATTGAAAAGACACAGTGTGAAAGGGAGACAAAGACCAATCATGACAGTTAATTAAGTTCCATGAGATGCCCTGTGGCTGAAAAGCACACTGACACTCTTTCACAAATGGATGTGTCATATCCGGCACAAATCCTGCTTCTCACATTACCTGCTGCAGGTGTGCTTGTTCCACACCACCTACATGAGCCTATGTTTATTCATTGTTTCTTCTTCCTTTGAGGGATTTAAAAAGCATGTAAGAATTCCTTTCATTCCAGAGAGTACAGGACTGTACAGTACTGTATAATAATGTACAATACACTTTATTATTACTGTAATACTGTACTGTTGCTAATACCATACTGTGTATAATTTTTAAATGAAACTTTACCATATGTGTGTACACAAAAATCACGTTATTGGGGTCCGCAGATGGTTTGCGGTTCTGTGGTTCTTTGTGGTTCTGTGGTTGTAGGTCTTGGAATGTATCACTTATGGACACGGGGGAACTAATGTACTCATAATTTTCTCAGTTTAGATGTGAAGCTGGCTTAAAACTTTACAATAAACTTTTTAATTTTCAAATTACGTTTCTAAGCTAATTTATTTTTGTGGTAACTGTGTTCCGCCTTCTCCCCCAGTGTCCACTCTGGGAACTTGCTGTATGTCACATCTGTCCTCACCAAATGCATACACTGCCTTCGGTAAGATGACTGGTGCATTTCAGACACAATTTGTTTACTGGTGAAAGAGAACCAAGAAACATTTTTCAGCCTCACAAGGTTTTACAATGAGAGACGACCCCATTCATCTTCACAATGTACACTTTGCTTGCTGTTTTCTTTACTTTATTGATCTAATATAATATGAATATAGCATATATAGTACACATTACTCACAATGCAATTAGAAATTTTTTTAAATTATAGCTGTATTAATCAAATGCATTTAACATAAATTACCGTCTGCATTAAAGTGTACAAAAGGTTTTCAGGAAAGCTAGTGTTTTCTTCACTGTACAATATTCATGACTGTTAAGTGCATATTATGATGTTTTTAACAGTATAATCAGGTCATGCTCATACAGATTAGATGATGTACAAATAAGTGAGAAGCAAAGACTGTTTCTACACGATCGACTTTCCAGCAGAATGACTGCACAGGGATGTCCACCCACATCCTGAGTCTAGATATGATTGCAACAGATGTGTGTCCTGAAGTGACCTAAGCAACATGGATTTTTTTCCTCTCAGAAATGACACTCCTCTTCTTTTGGCTTACCCCCCCCAATTTTACTGCAGCGAAGAATTTACTTAGCATTAAATAAATACAGGAACAATCTTTAAAAAAATGTAACCAGCAGTAGACCCTAATAACTCCACTTAACTTGAGTTACATACTGATAATAGAGTTTAGGTTTCTCAAAAGGACGTCACTGATCGGAATGTATTTAAGTCTCAGTCTCACTTTATAATAATTTAAAATTTTATAAGAATTTGTATTTAACCTGCTTACTTGACTGTATACTTGACAATAAAAATAATGTGCAAATGTTTAGCTACAAATCATTTAATATACATCTTGATTGAAGTATTAATACTATATTTCCTGTTGGTACTGGTTACAAGGCCAAACACCGCCTCCCCCAGATCTTTCCCCCATAATTAAATTACTCAGAATTTGATAACAGATTAGATATCAGAGCAGGATGGTGGATACGTTCCTCAGGGTTGAGTCACCCTGGCAGCTTCTCAGCCCACACTTCACTCACACAGCCCATTACTCTTGTTGTCCTCACGTCCCTAGAACAACTGATATGCCAATCGCGCCCCTTCAAGTTCTGCTACAACAAGGAAACAGTTTTAGTTCATTCTTTGGTGTACTCCGGCGTTGTTGCTAGGCAACTCAAATACTGTGTTGATTCTTCATTCGTTTAGTTATCTCTTCCTTAACGACAGGAAATGCCGATACACATTAAAAAAATATTTAGTTCATAACTGATATAATTGTACAGGTATGTAATTGTTTTTTTTTATATGTGTGTATGAGTATATGTGTGTATGAGTATATGTGTGTATGAGTATATGTGTGTCAAGGGGCTGTTTTGTAACAGTGTTTCCTAGCACGTTAGCAGATTTATGCAAGTATTTTACTGGGACACCATGGTTATATAACATGGCGTATCTTAAATGTGATCCAGTCGTATTTTCATGTGCACTTCGTATTGATAATTGGAGCTAATTGGAGAGGGATGACGAGGCTGGTTATTCTTACAGGCCACTCTCCAGTCACTATCAGTGCCACGTCAACCATTTAAAGGCAGAAAAAATGACGGGAAACACATGTCTTACGGAGAAAAACTGCAGCCTTCTTTTACTGTGGCATATAGAGAGGTGACACTGAAGATCCTTAATTAAATGATTTCTGTCCAGTTAAGTGCACTTCAGTTTTCATCTATTCAGTGATTGTTTGTAGCATAATGCTTTTTCAATGTTAGATATTTACCTGCTGACATGGATTGAGGTGAAATTATGGTCGTATTTCACAATTTTTTTTTTACTTATAATGCCACGTACTGGCTCATCATCTCACATATGATATTTTGGGGGCTTTCAAATAAAGAGAAATATACTCATAAAAACTCTCTATCACTGAAACCATTATAAAACCATAACACTTCACATTAAAACATCAATCTGTTAGAAAGTTCTAAATGCTTTAAAGAAATAAAGATCGATCAAGAGTTTGATCATTATAAATTGATTTATATAATATAACCATAAACACAAATCCTGGAACATATGTATACTTGATACAAATCCTAAAAAATATGCTAAGAATAATTTATTGATTTTTTAGCTAGGATTTTTGCAAAACACCACCTTTTATTTTTCTTCGTTAAAGAAATAACATGCTATGATAGACATACAAAAAGTACATATTCTTATCTGATATCATGTTTAATATTAGTTAAATGGGGTGGAGAATTTACTGATTTGATGTCAAAGTAAATTTCAAAATAAATTCACATAAATTTAGTCTTGCCTTATTTAATGTACACTACAGCACATAAAAATTGACATTCAACATATTTTTAAAATAAAAAACCAGTCTAGAACATCAACATAACAAATTGATTATTATAATCATAAATTGCAATTACTGCTTTGTGCATGAAATTTGAACTAAAACCTTTTGAACTAAGGTCTTTAAGTTCTAATCTTAAAGAGCCTTTTAAAATGTTAGTTTAATTCATTCGGAACATTAGCTAGATAACATCATTAAATGGTGGTAGCCAACACAGGCTTATAAATTCATAATGGTTTCTAATTCATAATCTTAACAAATATAAGTTACTAATAAACAAAGAGTGTGCCACGTAAACCATGTTAATATGTGGGTATATTTGTAGCACGACTGCATTGTGACTCACTTGAAGGTCTCAGCAGAACACGGAACAGCCTTCAGCTCTGCTGGCTCTGTTAGCCTTGCTGCTGCCCACACATGTAGGAGGGTCTGTCATGCACGAGTTACACAAACAACAGATTTAAAAAACATTGTATGTCTCCACAAGTTCTTATTAAAGGACGTATACCTATATACAGTGTCCTTTCTGTTTATTGAAGGTCAACGACAACGTGGGGTTTAAAAATAGAGAAAGCGCTGCGTCATAGCGTTCAGATTATCACACTTGAAAATAAATACCTCATGAAAGCTTTCAAAACTATCATGTTGCTCTACATACATGAGCGATAATGGCTCTTTTAATTAGCTTGAGTTTAAAGGCTACCCTTTAAAGTCAGTTCATATGGGAGTTTTGACCAGACCCATGTTTACAGTAGGACAAGACTATAATTTAGTCACAGAAGAAAAAAAACAGCTCTCTTGTGTTTACTTACCTGAAAGTGATAACAGGAATTTCCCCTTTACTAATGTATTACTTCTTACAGTTGATGAGAATGTAGAATTTAGCATCTTTCTCGGAGTATTTAATTTATCGCGGCATTTCAATGACAGCACATTTACCAGTTTTACCTTTCAAACACAAAATAAATACATAAACTGACCAAATGTCAGTAGATAAAGGCAGCGTATGTCAGACGGCGTTCGTGTGCATATTTTATTTACCTAAGGCTAAGTCTTCAATAAACAAACCTCTCTAAAACAGATTGTATGACCGGCCAGTATCTCTGGCCACATTTATTGTGGCACCGCTGTTGTTCAAAGGCTTTTCAATGCATGTTTGGAAACAGTGTCCGGTTAGTTGCACTTGATTCATGGTTGGTGACCGGCTTCCATCTGCTAAAAATAGCCTGAAAATGGCCAATTATAGGTGGCACAGTGGAGGCTGGTTGCCATGCTGAACTCGAGTCTGTGCCACTCACAGCAGGAGAGAGATATTTATAGCCTTTCATAGTGGAGATATTTATAACCAGCCTGGATACGGAGGTAATATCTCTCTCTCTCTATTTCCTTTCCTGCAAATGAAAAATGAAGCCACAGAGCCATTTTCACTAACGGGACAAAAACTGGGCTTGTAAATAGCTGACACGTCCTGATGGTTTTGAGTACAATCAATCAAAAATGAATAAAAGTGAAAACAGTTTACTGGCTTTAACATATATTTGATACTTGGTCAATTTTAACCATTGCTTCTCTTAAACAATAAGGTTTCATAACCTTAGGCAATACACAGCATGTAATAATTTTCACTTCATGCACATATGACCAGACTAAAGGTACGGCAGGAGACCCCATCATGCTTGGAAAAGCTGTTATTTGTTAAGTGTTCTCTTGTCCTTTGTACACATTGCTGAACATGGAAATGTAGCATAGCTACTAAACACACTGTGACTGCCTCTGACAGTCAAACCCCGTTTGTTATATACATTGTAAGGGACACTCCCTGTGCTCCCCCTGTGGAACAATGCAGCATGTAATATAAATATTTAGCCTTGCACAGTCTTAATTCAATAAAAATGAAGTCACACAAAACCTGCAGATCACAGTGCATTTGAAACTGGATTTCCTCCACAAGCAGACTGCTGATGGTCACTGGCTATTTCGCTGAGAAACGCAGAACAAGAGAGCCGTCTCCAGTCATGTCAAAAAGGGGCCATTATTTAAGGAGCTGTTTGGATTAAGTGAAGAAGTAGGCAGCTCCAGCTTCACTTATTCAGCATACGGGCGACAAACCAGAAAAGAAGCAGGTCTGTTACTAACTTACTATGCAGAACACATACACTGTCGATCGCTTTGCCGACCTTTAACCCCTGAGTGGGAAGCGTGTGGCCAGCAGGCGGGGGCTCAGAGACCTCCGCAGTGATACCGATACTCATAGAAAGAAGCAGACAGGAAGTTGGGCCTATAGTAGATGGTCACCGTGCCTCACTTGGGCCTGTACAGCAAGCTGTGAGATAGCCCGGGTATGGGCTATCTTGCACGTGTCACATGACCTGCTCCGGAGGTCGACTGTGCGGAGGGTGGGCACATGGCCTTCCCTTGCTGAAACATGCTCTCTGCATCGTGCAGCATGTAAACGGCTGATTATCAGCGGTCAAACACCTCACCCTCCCTTTCACAGGCCAGATAGGCTTCTTTTTTCATTTTCACACACACACATACACACACACAGGTTTGTAGTTACATCTTAGTGGGGACTCGCCATTCACTTCTATGGGGAAAACTCTAATCCCAACATGACAACCTTAACCCCTACCCAGCCCTAACCTTAACCATAAGTAACCAAACAAAATACAAGACATTTGGCATTTTTAGTTTTTTACACTCACAGATTTTTATAAATCGAGGATTATATTGTAAGGACCTGAAAAATGTCCCCACAAGGTCAAAACAATAGGTTTTTACCATGCCCCCCCCAATGTAATGTATACATGATCACACACACACTTTGGCTTGGACCTTGTGGCAGGCAGTATTTCAGGACTTTGGGAAGGACTGAAAAGTTCTTTAGACTATGCTGTTGTTTGCAGAGAGTGCATTAATGAGATGGTTCCTGTGGATACTGGTGGTAGCTGGAGGAGATGTTCGGCAAAGTGCCATATGGGGAAGCAGCGTGTAGATGTGAAAAAGAGATTGGATGGCTGGACTTATTACATCTGCAGAGCCATATCTGTAGAGTAAGACGATAGATGCATGACAGAAATGGGCCAAGTCTTTGGATTAAGATGATTAACAGATATGTTTCTTTGTGGAAGAGCAGAACGGTGCACGATGTCTGTGATGTGATCTGTACAGCCATGCAGTAACTGTGATGAACCTGCCTGTGTTTTTGTACGAGAAGATTCAGCTTCTGATAAAGAACAGTACAGCAGGTTTTTTTGTTGACAACTGTTTCTTTACTAGGACAGTTCATTTAGGAAAGTATTCTGAAAGTTTAACTTGAAAATAGATTGTTACGTGTATTTGTGATCACATGAATTTGTATCGGTGGTTGATTTTAGTGACTAGTTTTTAGAGTTAGAACAGAAAGTTCGAGATGAGACACAGTGTACTGGGGTGATAAAGTGGTTTATGACTTAGTTGGTTTATGGTATGTTGGTTTCTGAATTAGTTCAGTGTTTGTCGTTGGGCAGATGCTCCTGAGGTATGTGAAGAAAGTCTGGGGGGGGGGCGGTCTTTATCAGAACCCTCCTTTCAGCACAGAGTCAATGTTGAAATGCCGATAAATAGCTTAGGTCACTGACTTTTAAGCTTAAGTATTAGGAAAGAACAGAAAACGGCAACAGCAATAGCGTTCGACGGGAAAGGACAGCCAGGCCTAGGAACGCTGAAACAATTATTATAAAAAACAACAACAAAGGGTGGTGAAAATAACAATAAATCATAACAAATGAAAAAGAGAGAGAAACGGTCTAAAAAAATAACGTGAGGCAGCACTGGGCGGTACGACCTAAAATTTAATTTGATTTATTTTTAAATGTTGACCCTTACTGCAAAACAAGCGTTTACATCAATAAAAAGTTTAGTAATATTTTTAAATTATTATAAAAAAGTTTACATTTACCTTGATAGTATAACTGACATGTTTTATTACATTATTAATATGTCTTCCACTCCACAGCAATATGATTATCGATAACAGTGTACTTAATGATAAAAATTGTTTTACTAACAAATTTTATTAGATAAGATTAGACGTGTTTTATTGTTTATAACCGTATATTTATTTCCATAGAGGCATGTTTTATTATTACTGTACATTTAACTTGGTAACCTGCATGATTATAATTACTACCATGATAAATAGATGATATTGAAGACTTTGCTTTACTAACAAATTTAATTGCAAACTTAATTATATTACACTAAAAGCAGTAGCAATAAATATTATGTACTGCTGAACAGCTATATATGGAGAATTGTTGTGGAATATGCACAATAAAATCACAACGATTAGTAAGAAGCGCACACACAGGTAATAGGGGTCCCCTGTCAATACACTCTACACAGTGATACATAGCACTTCTAGCACGAACAATTTTATACAACTTGCTGACAATTAAAGCATTAAAGCTTTCGGCTATGGTTTGGTATGACGGTATATGCAGAATTCATACCATACAGGAAATTAAAAGCAGTGTATACTGCCCAGCGTTGCATGAGGGATCTGATTAATCAAAAGTAAAGAATTTGGGAATAATTAGCAGGATAGAGAGTGGAAAGCAAGATGGGAAGATATTAAAAGAAGGCAGCAAGCATACAGCAGATAAGCAGGAAGAAACTTGAAGGATGTTATTGGAAAGTGGCTGAGAGCATAGATCGTAGAGCATGGTGCCTATGGGTAGCTATGGTTCAGTTAGCTACTCCTCAAAAGAAAACAAGACACGCCATCCACAGTGAATAATAATAATAATAATAAAAAGTGAAGCCTTTGGGGCAAAGATATACAACAAAAACAAAGGATAAAACAACGTGGGAGGAGAGACGTCCAGAAAACAATCAAAAAAAAAAAAAGAGCGAGGTCAGGTCAAACATGCCTGCAAGTGAAAAGCAGTGAAAAGAAAACAAAATCATGAATAAAATCCAACAAACAGTAGAAGCAGAGGACAGCTGGACCATAGACATCATGGCGAGTGTGGAACGAGTGCTGGAAAGCTGTGGAATAAACACAATGTGCAAAGTGGGTTAGGGGGCCATAGCAAAAGAAGGACCAGGGGCCTGTACTACGAAGCGGGATTATTGGCTTATCGGGGTAACTTGTCAGATTTAAGGTAGTCTGGGCAAAATGTAAGTGAATGAATATGAAGTCCATTTAAACTGTGGTACCTTAAATCCGACAAGTTACCCCGATAAGCCAGTAACCCCGCTTCGCAGTACAGGCCACTGCTCTGTAGATAGTTTAAACTAAGCTGAAGAAAGTGTGTGACTGCTAATTATATACTTTATGCTCTTGGAATAAACTGGTTTGACTAGTTTTGACAGGTTGCATAAGGTTAGTCCATAAACAGCCTTCTCAGATCCGAGTTGAAAAGTTCAATAATTATTCAGGTAACCACATAGGTTTCCTTGCTAATGATGAAGAATGCATCAAATATTGCAAGAGTATATAAGGCGGAAATATGTTATGGTATTACAAAGGTATTCCTGAGCATAGTCAGATAGGCAAGAATGAAATATGAGGCGTCACCAGCAAGGGATACGTTCCCCCTCCCCGTCAGCCTGGCAGGTTCCGGCCCCCACGTGCTCCAGGCGATGCCACAAGCCACCCGTGACCCCGCTGCCACCAAATGGCCGACAAGCCAATGATGAGGCTGCATGAGGTCTCACTACATCTCCTCAGACTGCCACTAAACTTTAGTGTTTGCAAGTAAGAGAAAAAAAGTTATGAGACGGTGAACGTGTACCTGGTGACATTTAATGTTTGTACCTAAACTTTTTAGCAAAGTGGGTGGTGAAAAGGAGAAAAAAGAATCACAATGGAAGACATTTAAAGAAAAAATAATTCAATATTTATTTGTAATATAAACAAGTCTCGTCTTGGTATTAAGGTACTATACAATATATATTTTCTATATTCATAAATCAGTAAGAACTGCCCAGTTAGCAAGCTCAGTTATACATAAACATTTATTTTACACAGCACAAACCAATCAGCCAATGGACATTTGAAGGTGATACACATTGCTGATCAAGCGCTGCCAGAATCCCTGATACTGTCCTTGTGAGGTAAGAAGACGTTTTTAAAAATCACTCATTTTTTGGTCACAACTGGACTCCCACACACTTTCTTCCTTATTGCCCAAGTCACTTGTACCAGTCGTGTTCTGTTGGTGCAAGATATAAGAGACAATCCATCTTGTGCTTGGTATATATACACACACGGGTTAATTTTAACGTGATCACTTAAGACTT